ATCTAGGATGCTCCATCCACAAGATAATTTTATAGTATATTTAAAAGCTTTAAACTACTGAAGTAGAAACGGAACATATTTTCAATGGCAACATGCTGTTTCACAAACTAATTTTATACAGAACACAACAGCAGAATATTTTGTGTTGACTGCTCCTCCTTTTATGAAATGGTTGTCACTGACCTAGTCCTGCTAAAGTGCTCTTCTGTGATGACTTAGTATTCTGCTGGAAGTCATAAGATAACAGAATGAAATAATGGTTATGTTTTGTGTGTCTGATCAGCACACCACATTTTTATAAGGAATTCCTGATCTGATTACTTTTGGTATTGATTAATGGCTCCCCATAAGTATTTACCAGTCAGACTTTCTTTTAAATAATATTCACAAAGAAAAACACTAGATTTAATCTCAAAATGGAAAATGGAGTAGTAAAGGAAGGCTGGGAGGAAAGCATGATACACCTGAATTTTACACATTTACCATACAGAAATAGAAACTTGAGAATCAACCTGAAAGAAAACTTCTGTTCAACAGGAGATAAATGGGTTTATCAAGCTTTATCATTACTCTCCTGGTGTTTCTGTACCAATTACCAGATGTTAACAGTAAATGAAATTCCCATAATCTGATAAAGCATGCCACATTTTCTTGTTGATGATTCACTGTGTTTTGCTCAACTGTTTATTCTGTCTTTTGCGCCTACAGCTCTTTAAGGTTTCTTGCCAGAGCAGTTCACCTCATCTTACAGTTCTCATAACATCATTCTTATTGACTTACAGCAATTAAAGTAACTTTATCAGTCAGGTTTCCCAGTTTTATGTTGCGTGTGAATACACCTTCTCAGTCATGCAATTATGCATTCACTTTTACAGCCTTACCCTTCACCTCTTCAAGTAAACCCCTGGGAATCAGAAGACTGTATCACTGCAACAGCTTTGAATAAACAACAAACACGTGGAAGGATAAAGGTTTAATGGTATAAAGGACAAAATTCATGCACCTCTTGCCAAGTGACAAGGCTATAGAAAGCTAATTAATTTTCATGTAGCTAGGGAGCTTTTAAACCAAGTAATTTTAAAACACAATTAAATCTTTTTTTCAAAACTCAATTTTAATGTGACCAGACTTCGGTTAACTGGTTTTCTGGTCTAGGGGTCTTCAGGTGAAAAGGAAGTACTGAGGCCATTACATACTTCAATTATTTCCCTTATTTTCAGAGCTAATACGTATTCTTGCCTAGTGCCAGACAGAATATTTCAATTGGTGGTACTTATATTTAGCTAAGTGAGAACCATTAATCACCATTTCCTGACAGTATCCTAGAAAAAATGCCAAAGTACTTCTATTCAAATTTCATTCACTCAGTCACTTTAAAAAGATTTTATTTCTATAGGATATTAGTGTGGGGATTTGAACTGATGGGTGATTTACTAAATAAGTTCCCACAAATATAGTTCATTATAGCAATTTAATAGATTCCTACATATTAGATTGAAATATATGTAATCTAATAATGTATGTCATACTTTGAAAGGCTAATTGATCATAAAAGCGACCTCCTGTTTATGGAGTTAAAGAATTCCTATTTGTAGTAAGGACAAGTCACATTCAACTGATAGTGTGTGGATTATATTTCATCTTTGATCCTTTCCCCTAAAACTGAGTTTCTCTGGGACATATTTTAACAAACTCACTGGATAGTTAATTGTCCATAATTTCTTAAACCAGAAAAAACCTTGCTGTTTTCCAAAGCTCCTCTATTACAGATTTTATAGGACTACAGGAGTCAGCTTTAACCTCTTTACTAGATTTTTTTATGAAAGAAAGTGAGGCTCTCTGCATCTCTGCATACAGATAATAAGCAGCCTCTTCCAGAATTTTCATACTAATAAAAAGCCTGCCAGCCACTGCTCCTCATCCCATTTCGATTACTCCTATCTACTGCTCACACCCAGTCTGCTTCATTGCACTCTCCAGCAAGGCACTTGCGTTCCAAACAACACCTACTCTTCTTGTGACTTCCAACTGACTGTAGTGCCTTCTCTTGTAAGGTCAACAACTTTTCTCCTCTAGTCTATGTAGGTGCTAATAGAGGGAATTAAAAGCTAGTCACCATACTCCCATGTCTTACACTTGCCAGAGAAGATAAACAATGGAAATTTCTGTCTAGCCTCAGCTATCTCAAGCTCAAATATGCTCAGAAAAAACTTGTGCTGTTCAATAAAGCAGCTATCAGTCTTTCATAAACTCCAGTGTATATGAGGGACATACAAGAAGGGCATCCCTGATAAATGGCATGACCCAACTCAGACATCCTCCACGCCCTTGCTGCAGTGTGTGAAGATGTCTAAGAATGTAATGCGACCAAAATATCCCATACTTTTCTTGTAAGTTTTTTCAAAAAATTGAGGAAATTTTTTTTTGCAATTTTCCAACAACTCTTCAACCGGTGGAAAAACAGAAAGTTACAGTCTAAATGTTTGTCAAGGGCTTAATGTATGTAATTGAAAAGAGGAGCCACATGTTGAACAATGCTAAGTACTAGCAATGTATGTATGTCAATTCTCCCACTCTTCCTAAATGAAAAGTTTTGTTACTGAGGCTTTTGAAGGTTTCTTCTAATAAAAGACTTACATACACAGTTGTGAATGGCATTAACAATTTTTGGGGACGCAGAAATTTTGTTCTTCGATAGTGACATTAGATAGGTTATATTACATATATACAACGTATTAAATATTTTAAACAAAAAAAATATTTTTATTTTTGGTAGAACTGATCTAACTGCTCATTCATCATCACATTACACATTCTTGTGTACCAACTAGCTCCAGGCTTCTGAAAGTGACTATTATTTTGTTGTGAGAATCTAACAGTAATTAGATAGTCTGTCACGTGCAGGTTGTCTTTACACAACACTCTATAAAGACCTTTCGTACCACTGAGATGATTTTGTCAAAATCTGTTTTCAGTTCACTGAACTGAGAGTGCATTTGTCTAAGCCATTTTCCTATTTCCTAGGCTCTGTACCTGTTCCAACAAGCTTTGTGTTTGCTACTGCTAAGACTATATTCTAGAGATGAAGATTTCTCTGACGATGCTGCAAAGATTATTAGTTGCTTTTAACAATTTGAGTACCGGTCTCTGCTATCTGAAATAAAACCCAAACGCAACACAACCCCACAACTTTTCAATACTCTGTGGTCAATTAAAGAAGCAGTTAGTCAGTTAAATGAAAGGACTAGCCAGAATATCAGCTTTTCAGGGTACATAGTGCCATTATTTATTGTCACGGAACACTATTCCCTTTAAAAATCTTTGAAAACTGCCATTTAATTAAGTGGAAGCTTCTGTTTCTCACACTGAAGAATATATTCCACAAAACAGAGTCTGTTGCATTTTGCTTATTAACTAATATCTGTTTGCCTCTTTCTCCCTTCCAGCCACCCAGCAGTCCACTCAATCAATGCACTACTGTTGCCTAGTTATCAGGAGTCCAATTCTGCTACCATTGAGGGAACATTAGATTCCCCATTGATTTCAGTGAAGGCAGATTAGTTCCAGGCAGCACACAGATGAACTGAAACAGAAGTTCTTACAGATTTTCTGCTGCAAAAATGTTGCTTTCATTAGGGCATTTAGAGCTGCTTCTGTCTTCAGGCTAACAGCGCTCAGTATAGTAGGTAAGAAGTCTGACACAATATTGTATTAACTCATGGTTTCTGTCTAAGAAACTTCTAACAGAAGTGTTTATAATTTAACTGCTTTAAAGATACTGCTTGCATGCATCTAGGAAGTGGGGTGCTTCTTCTCTAGCTCTAGAAGAAAACAATCATAATTTAGCTACTGTTGGGCAGAGCTTAGGAAGGCTCTCACCACAGCTGGCAGCATAATGATCACAGTTCTCAGCAGTCTGACAAGGACTTCTGTCACGTGGAGCAAAGCCCACAGGGACCTGACCACTGACTTCAACGGCAAGATCCCTGTCAGCTGCAGTTAACTTCAGTGCTTGCACTGTTTGTCTCTCATAGCATCCTGATTTCATCAGCACATCCCTACTGCACACCTGAACTCACAGAACAGGCATTTAAGCATGCACTGACACAACTTGGCATGTCCCCGTATGCCAGCACAGTGTTGTACAGGTTAGCACAGACTCTTAAACAGCATGAGCAGAATACTGAAGTACTAATTAATCACCCTGTCGTGGTTCAAGCCCAGCCGGCAACTTGGAACCACGCAGCCGCTCGCTCACTCCCCCCCTTTTCCTTCCTCCCCCCGCTCCCGGAGGGATGGGGAGGAGAATCGAAGGAATGTAACTCCCACGAGTTGAGATAACAGCTCTCCAGTAACTAAGGTATAATACAAACCACTACTGCTACCAATAATAATGATAAGAGGAATAACAAGGGAAAAGGACACAACCGCTCACCGCCCGCCGACCGATACCCAGCCCGACCCGAGCAGCGATCTGGGCCTTCCGGGTAACTCCCCCCAGTTTATATACTGGGCATGACGTGCTGTGGTATGGAATACCCCTTTGGCCAGTTTGGGTCAGGTGTCCTGTCTCTGCTTCCTCCTGGCTTCCCCTCCTCTCTGGCAAAGCATGAGACTGAGAAAGTCCTTGGTCAGAGTAAACATTACTTAGCAACAACTAAAAACATCGGTGTTATCAGCATTGTTCCCAGACTGAAAGTCAAAAACACAGCACTGCACCAGCTACTAAGAAGGAGAAAAAATGACTGCTGTAGCTGAACCCAGGACACACCCTTTCCCCTTAGCAAGACTAATTGCCTCAGGCTTGATGCCTTGCAACTGTTCTGTGTCTGCTTTTCAGTAACTTCAGCATTCTGCGTGGTAGCAGGCAACTACAGACACATCTCACATCCATCATCCTTTATATAAGGTACTCCTGCTTCTCCAGCACTGAAAGGCAAATAATCTTTTCAGGAGAAGGATGTTATTCTGGGAAATAACTAAAAGTCTCAATTTCATACCTCTCTGATAGCTGTACAAAACTCACTCTGCAGCACCTTCTTTAGAGACTGTAGCTTGTGTACTGGTACTTCTCCAGATTCTTGCAGTTTCTCCAGTAGCTCAATTGCTCTTGCAACATCTGAGTGGGGAAAAAGAAAGGAATACAGATCAGTATAAACAGTGACTAATAAGTGATTAAAAGGGGCACAATGATGGTCATTTTAAATTTCAAATCCACTTTACTAACAGATACTATATTAACCTTGTGCTATACCAGCTGCAGTGAGCAACAACGCTGCTGTTCAGAGATCCAAATCCCAAAGTATGGCCAAGCCATGCATGTACGTGTACAACAGACACACACAGAGTGGTTCAGTCATAGTTGCAAACATTCTTTGGAACAAAGCTACCAGCTCAAAGCTGCTAATCCATATTAGCAGACCTAAATTATTTCTTACTTTCTGCATTAGAGAAAGTAGCACAGGAACTTTATGGGGCTTACTTTCAGAAAGTCTGAAAGAATGAAGCCGAGTCCTTATGTAAGCACCCTCATGATGACAGCACTTAAGAAAAATACTTGATTTTTTCTTCTTATAAATTGCCTAGGTTTCCAAAGACCTGATCTGCCACACGAAACCCATACAACCCACAGAAATACACAAAATACTATTTCTGGTGGCCTGAATTTTCCTTAAGTACCTGTGTATTGTAAAGGGAAATATTTAAGTGTCTCTAATGAGCAGTCTAGGGGGCTTAAGCTTAAGTGACTAGCCATATTGTGCAGTGGGTGGGAATCTGGTCCAGTTAAACAGCGCCCATACCCTCACTCTCATATTTTTCCTTTTAACACTAGTTCCTAATTTACAGTTACTACAATGCAACCAAAAAATCCCAAACCAAAACAAAAAGCCAACAAACCCAACACATGAAATGCCCAACAATCCTTTATGGCTGGGGACACAGGGGCACAAGAAGTAGTGGCCAGTCTCATGGAGGCTAGCCTAGTCAAGCAAGGGACATGCTGACTTAGGGGCAGGAGTGAACTGAGCAATACATATCCTGGTCAGTCTTCAGGGTGATAGAGCTTGAACAGAGGGTTTTCTGCTCCTGTGTCATTTAACACTACCTTGCAGCTTTTCAGCTGGTACAGTTGAACCTGGCGATGCTGTTGTCTTGATGATGTGGTCATTTTCGGATCTCCTAGCATCTTTTTCATAGCCACCAGAGCCACTACTGGCCAGTTATACCACTCTACTAAGCATAGGTCTGTATTCTAGTGATGAAACGAATGCGTAGTACTAAATGATAAAACAATACTGGAGGCATTTTAATGCTGTGCTTTAACTGCACAAAGAAGAAATAAACACCTCCCCCCAACCACACAACTCCAAAATGATTACAATGGCTAGAAGCAACCTTATATAATTCTCCTTTCCGACGACAAAGATTGTACTGTTTGTGACTGGGAGATTATGCTAATTGAAACAGTTCTTACAATTCTTGGCTTATAGCTGAGCTATACTGACCAGATGTCTTATACAACAAAGCCATGAGAAGTTTTCTGGAAATAGAAAAGAGATGACAGTAGATGAGCTGTAACAGGAATAAAAACATAATCACACATTTGCATTTATAAGAAAATAGCTACTATCCAGCTGCACAGTGTTAGGAAAACAGAAGATGACACCTCAGAAAATCTAAAATTCAATTGAAAGAGGCAGGCAACTGGTCAGCACAGTAGGTTGTGTCATAGTAGATTAACACCCAAATAATTATCATGCTTTTTTATAGGCATCTGCTGAAAGATAGCTCTAAGTATGAGAGGAAGCATGGAAGACAGTAGGCAGTGTTTCTTTCAGAAGTATGTTTCCACTTAGGGGTGTAGTTCGCATCGCATTGCAGTCTTGGAACTCATGAACTTTCAGATGGAACTAACCCTAACCCTGCATTCAAACACTGCACCTGTGTTTTTGCTCCATGCAGTGCTTCAACTGCTATTTGCTTTCTCTACTCCACACTACCTGCTGGTAGAGATATATCCAGTATCATTCACAAGGGATCATCAGAGAGGCAGAGACCTTGGTGTGATGGGAAAGAGAAGGTCTGGATTAGTGAAGCAGGTTTGTGAGTTGCAAGCACGGAGACAGCAGTTGAAGCTGTATGTGCAAATAAAAAAGGGAAGAGATGATGTCGAGGTGTACCAAGAAAGATCCCTCCACAGCACTTACTGAAGTGATGATCAGAAAGCTAACAGGAGATCTGGCTATCAAGGAAAAATAAGATTCTAAAAAGAGTATGACTGATGGCAACTAATAAAGAAGATGGTTTTCAGATTTAAGAAGTATACTCTTTAGCAAGAACCATTTCAACAGAGTGCAAAAGAATATCAGTGCATTAAATAAAATATCATAGGATCAGAATTGTTTAGGTTGGAAACCTAATATGGAAAACTAGTATGATGCAACAAACACAATTTTTAATCTTCTCAATAATAATGTCACAATGATTTTCTAACAAGACTATCAAATCATTTACCTTAGATTTTTATTTCTAAAGCCTGCATTGTCTCCCAAGACTTGCAGTTAGCTAAACACTAAACTCACACTTCCCAGTTATTAGTACAAGTTGGTGCAAACTCGTATGTCGTACAGCACAAAGCATCAGGATGATTTATTCTGAAGAAGCTTCAACAGCCGACCATAATAGATAAAGCCTCTGAAACTAATGTCATATGCATAGTTATTCAAATACTCTAAATTAGACTGGGATTTTTTTCGGTGCCAGTTCATGTAAGTTCTGACTGTCTTTTCCTCTCTCCAGCTATACCTGTAGAAGGTCAGTGCCACAGAGGACACACTGGTCCCTACTTTGTGTTGCTTAGAAATTTCATCACCCCACCTGAAAATTCTGTGCATCACCCCATATGCTCTGGTCCTAAACTAAACTATATTCCATGAAAATATTGTACTGCTTGAGAAATCTGATTCAGAAGGCAACATAATTAGCTTTAACTACATTAATCAATCTAAAAGAATTAAGGACAGGTCTAAACATTTCCCTAGGGCATGGACCAGACTCTAGATCTTGATTAATTACTTCTAAAGTGACGAGAGTTGCAATACAAATGATAAATTCATATTCTGGTTGAAAAGTCTGGCATGGGTGTTTAGTAAATAGTCTCACAGGCAAAAATGGGCACTAAATTGTTGTTTGTCAATACTAGATTACTTGGTGACTAGAAGTGGTTGGGGGTTAAGAAAAAGCAGAATATCCCAAGAACATTCTGATTTTCCACACTTCCAAATTCACCCACAATGCTAAAATACATGAATGCTGTTGCCCACATTCTTGTTTTGATTTATTATTCACCTACCATATCTGTTAACAGTAAGCAGTCTTCTTACTCTTGTCACAGTTAAGCCTGTAGCTTGCTCAATTTGGCAATGACTTGTGGGATATTGCTCACAGAAGAGAGAATACAGAATAAAGCACTTCATGGGATAAAATTACAGAATGAAAATGAGGCATGTGTTCAGGGCCAAAGCTGTTTATTACCAGCTGACGCTTTTTCAGGAGCAAAATATAACAGCTGGTACAAAACAGAAGATTTTGAGCAGACTAAAAATGTATAAACATGAGTGTATGAAGTATGAACTCATGAAATAGACTGTATTTACTTCCATTGATAACTTTTAAGGGGAGACTTGAACAAACAGTTGCTTTAGGACAGGTTAAAAAACTGAAAATTATCAGCACACAAGTACTCACTCAAGGTGAGGTCCAGCTAAAACTAAAGCAAATGCTTGCTCAAAGAAGTGATGTTACTGCTAATGAGGAAGACTTCAAAGTTGCAGTGGAAGAAAGCATACAGCAGGGAATCCATCCCTGTTGAAGTAAATGAGAATATTGTCATACGTTTGAGTATCCTCTGCTAGGCTCATTTTCTTGTCCCCAGCCCTCCTTTGATTCCAAATCTAACTAGCTTTGCTTGCAAACATCATTGCCAAGGAATTGTTCTTAAATACCATTTTCTTACATACTTATGGAATGTGCAAGTTGATGAAAAGAATGTGTGTGTGTATTTATATAGATATATCTTAAAAAAATCCCTCGAATTATGTTAAAAAATTAAGTTTTATGTAAATAAAATACACCTGCCTTTTATTTCTGATTTGTCTTTCCTTTAAGCAAAGATATTTTGAGTCACAACTTCTGAAAAGGATTGTTTTGCCTACTCTCAAACATTTTTCAAAATATGAACTTCATTATACTAGCATTAAACTCATGCTAATGTCATTGAAATCTATCTTCATCTCCCACGTTCATATCCCACAGAAATTGGTGGGAAATCTGAGTAATGATGTGGGTAGAATTATTCCTCTGTATTCTATGATGCATACACTTTAAAAGGAACATGCACATATTTACCTCTTTATTATATCGAATTCTAACCACATATTCTTTTTACAATTTTTTTTTTCTGATTTCCTTATGCACAATTTTTTGCTCATTCTGTTTAACATTCTTTTTTGTCTTCTCATCATTACGTTTGCCTACAGCCTTTCAGGAAATAATACTGTTTCAGTATGGTGGGTCATGTTGTCAGCAAAGCACACAGAAGGCAGGGGGCTCTGGGTGGGTGGAACACTTTATCAAGCGCACTCATCAAAAGAACAGTATGACTTTCAGAAAAAAAACTTCAAGTATTCTTGGTATTTTCATTTGAATGAAGTTTCATTTGCATTGCTAGTAAGAAACAAGCAGGAGGTTACTATACATGCCCTATGAAAGAGGAATCACTAAAACATAGAACTAGCAAGATACCATCTGTGATACAAGTGGAACATTACCATACACTAAACAAGGTTGAATCATGTATACATAGCCCTATAACATCATGCAGTTGAAAAAAAGGTCATCTCGCTTAGTTATCACTTTGTTCTCTTATATAGTGTTTTCACTTGCTGGGTCTTTTTCAAATATCTAGTAATGCACAACACAAACTGACCTGTTTGATTTGCTGGATGTTCTGTAAAGCAAATGTTATTTCCAACACTTTGCAATTCAGCTTTCACAATTTGAAAGCAAATTATGAATCCACAGACAGAATCCTGGCTGGTCTGAACTTGGTGCTCTTTAATTAAACATTGCTGTTAAAATTGGGTAGACCAGGCTCCAGCACTCTGTGAATGTTGTCCAGTGTGGGGTTTCAGTCTGCTAGATTGTGTGCAGGGTTTGTTTCAGTTTAGTCAGGCTGAAAACTATTAGGAAAAATGTAGCATATTATTTTAGCATGCTAAATATGTCCCACTTAATAGCAGAGTACCTCTTGAAAAAGAACTTCTGTACATGATTTATATTGCAAAATGTGAAAACCCTTGTATATCTGCCAGTGTCTAACCTTCCTCTCTTGCGCTAGTCTATGAGTCAGTTGGTCTGCAGTCCTTAAAATAAATATATTATCTCCTGATTCAAGAGACTATTAGGCAGTTAATAGCAGCTACAATGCTGTGAAATAATTGTTTAGGTTCAAACAGTAATTACTCTGAAACACAGTATTTCTTTACTCTGACAACTATTCTTAAATCGTGTTGGGTTGCTCCTAAAGTCAAAATATGGTGATCACTTTTTTATTTTATTTTTTTTTTATTTTAAGGTTTCTAATCTTGAATTCTTTTCTGTGCCTCATTCCTGTTAATTCTGGAGATCTTCACTGCATTAGGATGCCAGTTACTAGGGAAAATAAACGTGCTGCCTAAACACCACCCTTTGGTACCTTGAAGAGGTGGAACATCACTACAAATTGACAGCAAGGACACTCAGGAAGTGTCTAAAATATTCACTAGCTTCACCACGGCATTACTGAATAATAATCCTGGCAATTTTCGAGGTCTCTTCTGTTGTGCTTGAAGACCTTTAATCAGGCTGAAGGTGAAGAATTTGCACGAAAGAACAGGTCCTTATAATTGTCAGTAGTTTGTCATTCCTCAAGTACTTTTGTTCAGGCTTAGTTACCCCTTTAAGCTCATGAGAATACATTCCAGAATTCTTAATGTTATTCTGTCAACTTTTTATCATAATTTCCAAAGCCTACACAGGATGCTTTATTATATTTAGCAATCCTCTCCAAACACTATCAAATGACAGCAGGTAATCAATGGTTGGGCAATCAGAATTCTGTGGCAATTAGCAAAGTTCATTCATAATTCATAGCCAGTAGGCCTAGTACCAAACTATTTATGTGACTTTATGGTTAAAGCAACAGCTTTGGAAAATTTTCAGTGTGTATCTTCTGAAAATTTTCTGTATTACTAGAGCTCCGCTGTCAGTCACTGCTTTGTACAACATGGCAATTCTTACTCTGGTGTCAGACTGTCCAATATGCTTCCATTCACCTCTTTAGTTCCTTACTATCAGAACAGCGCTCTTCTGAAATACAATAGCTCTCCCATTACTTTTTTATTTAATTTAATCTGGAGAGTTCAGAAACATAGAAGTAAAGAGCAGCCTTTTTTTTGCCCCATTTAAATTGATATGTTTGTCTTGCCCAAAATTTCATGCTAATCAGGAAGCATAAAGGTGTACTTCACCACAGTAAATCAGACTTGCTGTGCAGGGAGCAATGAGCTGAGCTGTTAGAAAAGAGGAGTACTATTCAACACTTTATAGTGTGTATCTGTGAGGTCAAATTAATCATAGCAAGAATACTACTACCAGTGCTTTCATAATCTAAGTTAGATGATATGGGTAGCAGTTATAGGTTTAATGCAGTGGCACTTTACACTCCTGTGGTTAAACAATACTATATGAAAGCACAAACAAATATAACAAAGAACAATCACACAGAAGTCTCATGATTCATCTCGTGATGAGGGTTTCAATCCACCACAGTTCTGAAGTACACATCGACAGCTCAGCGACTCACCCTATACTGCCGCTACAGTCAATGAGGAAAAACAGACGCTTTGAGGCTGCAATTCATCTGACCTATTTTAGATGAGATGAATCATAGGCTGGGAGTGCCTGTTCCCTTGTTGACTAAAAAGAGAGACTCGATGATTGGCTCAGATGTAAATGCCTGCATCCTACATATTAGATATCTACATCAGCATGATGAAACCTACTCCCACTGGCCAGATACACAGCAAATGACTCATGCAAATTTACCTTCATGTGGTCCAGGAGACATCGTACTTCAGAATACTTACATCTAACAAGAACTGTTGTTAGCAGGCAGGCTAATGTGGTTTTTAGTTAAAGCTTTTAAAAATGCTTTAGCCAATGATTTTATAGATTGTTTTCTTAATGTATGAGAAAAATTGACTCTGAAATATGATTTAGTATATGTCTTGTCTGTCTCATTTTGTCTGATGTGAGATGACTGCTCCCAGCAACATTAATGGCATATCCCCATGGATTTCTGAATACATTCCCCCACTGTCTGGGGCAGGGTCATTTCCTCTGGCTACTCATCGGACCATGTTCTGGTCTATATGTTTCTATGTGTTTGAGCTGCACTCAGGTTCTGTGTGGCTCTAGCTTCTCAGGCACACCACAGGCGCCCAAATTCTCTGTTTCACTGACACAGAGCCTGTGACCCAGCTGTTGCACACAAAACCCATGGCAATGTTATGTACCATGAGTTTTCCCAGCAGCTTTGGCAGGAAGACCTAAATATAATAACAAAGACCTGAGACATTTTACACAGGTTATTTGCAGGGAATGCAGTGCCACCTGGGATTCAAACACAGACCGTAAACTGTGGGGAGACCCCTCCACACAGCATCTTCAAGAGCACAAAAGCCCTCCAAGGTTCTCTTTAGCAATTTCAGTCACTTCTGCTGTTTCAGGCATTCTGCCTGAAATACTTAAGTACTACTGTTTCAGGCATACTGCCTGAAATACTTAAGTACTACTGTTTCAGGCATACTGCTTCTGAATACTCTGCTTAGCTTGTTCAAATGCAACATACAAAAGACAGGTTCCCTTAACTGAAAAAAACATGCTTCTTTCTGTTCTCTGAACATGACAACGTCTACAATATCTTGAGTAATCTCTCCTCCACTTCCCACTCTATTAAGTTTTAACTAGCGATTTCTATTCTCCTCAGCTAAGGATTTTCAACGCCTTAACTTACCATGAAGGCCAACTGAGAGAAGTGTATTTACTTTACTTTGGGTCAATCTTCTTAGCATATTCATCGCTGTACATAGATAGATCCTGTCCTCAATTTTTTCCTTGAAATCTTCACATAATTGACATCACAGAAGCATCTTTGTCAGGAATTTTCAGTTTTTGTTTGGTTGTGTGTGTGTGCACATGTGTGTGTGAGAGAGATGGATCTACAGAGCTGCTAAATCTATTCAGAGTTCATCAGATACTTGCAGCTTGATACTGTCACATTTCCATTGTTGCTTTTTAAAAGAGTAACAATAAATCAAATAACAGTAGAGTCTGGATTAATGGGTTATTAAGGATTGTTTCAGTGAGATTCACTGGCTTAATTTGAGGCCTGAAGAGTAATAATGCAATTCAGAATTTTCAAAGATGGGCATTTAAAATTAACCTTAAAACCTAATCATTTTTAAACAGATATAATTTTTTATTCTTCCAAATCAGTAGCTTCACTGCAATTTCTAAAGCAATCAGGATAAGGAGGTGAATAAATGAGTTTGAAAATTTTCAACAGAAGATTTTGCCATCTGTGAGAAATCAAGAAATTACACATATACCAACCCTTTACGTTTGACAGCACCCACTGCTTTTGTATAGAAGGCATTGAACGTAGCACTGGTGTGAAAACAAGCTACCAAATTATCCTTTGAGAGAAAAGTGTAGAAAATAAAGCTGAAAATGCAAAGAATAGATGACTATTGAAAATTATGGTATTTTATAACACAGTACTTAAAAGAGAATGTCATACTTCTTCCCCTGCATGAGCTGCAGAGAAAGGGGAAAGGAAGGTAAAATTCCTTTTTTCCCCCCCTTTGTATATAATTTTGACTTTATATTGATTAATGATAGCTGGTCTTTGTCATGATGACTATGATTTATAGCTAGCCACTTACTGCTGAATAGAACAGATGAGACACGATTCTGGTTCTTTTTCTGACTGGGGTGGTCAGCTTCAATTATAATAAAAAGGACAACATATTTTTAGAAGTTTATTTTGTATTCAAATAAATATATATATTATATATAATGAAAATATGAGCATTTATTCATTTCCTAAATAAAAAATTAATCTGTTTCCTGCAAGAAGCAGGATATTTTGTAGTTTCAGACTTTGTGCCACTAACTGTAATTCTCGGTCTGTTAGCATTTTTTTAACTGAGACACAGGTGTTTAAAGCAGTAACGTGCCTACACAGGACCTATAAAATGGTGTTCTGTCTGACTTTCTGAAACTATGGAATGCAAAAACCAAATCCTCTGAAGCAAAGCTGTAACTCCCTAAGAAATTCAGTATAGTGAATAGACCTGGCCTTAATGAAGTAAGTTCCTACAAGTTGAACTATGTGAAAGCAAGGAGGCTGTCTACTGCCTCATGTAGCCATTGATGTCTTTTAAAGAGATGCCTTGGTAACTCTCTACCAGCCATATCTGTCTCCTGGTCACAGCATCACTTGATCTTGCAGGATCAGTTACGCCTCAGCAGACACCACTCACCATGCTGGAGTGGAGTGGCTTTAAACACTAGACAAAAGCACATTGGACACTTTGCTGAAACTACAAATGTAAACACTTCGGAGGTTCAGACCCCAGATTAAAAGAAAGAAAGGCTGGTATATTAACATACCCCAAGGACCCTATGTAACAGAATACTTGCTCTTGTGTTTTAAACTGCAAACATACAGAGCAAAACACTAAAATCAGTGAAGGAATTAGAAATTTGACTAAGTTAGAAAAGCAGAAATAGAAAAAATGACGAGGAATAAGATGAACAAAGAAAAACAGGATGAAGAACTGTTTTTTTTCAGCTAAAATACTTTTTTAGCTGAAATCCATTCTCCTGCAAGCCTGCCTAAGCAAAAGCAAGTATTTATGTGTCCTATGTGCACATCACAAAACAACAGTATTGGCCCTATGGGCAACCTCATGCCTTTCCCACAGTGTGTGTTTTTAGTTTGCATCAGAGATTTGTGTTGGCAGGAAAAAGACAGGAAGAGGGAAAAAAAGGCCCCAACAGGTGTCTCGCAAAGGGAGGTAAGGTTAACTTAGGGATGCTAATTCTCCTTCACAACAGGCACCGTGTTTGAGCCAAAGCAGTAACTCTCACTTTCTTCTCTGCTCCTATGTCATTACTAGAGTCTCCTGCTGCCTCTCCTCAGTTCTTATCTCTCTAGCTAATCTTAGTCTTAAATCTTTTTTCTGTTATTACCAGAAAGATGAGAAACATGGCTGTGGGCTACTGGCAACAGTACATAGTGACAATACAAATTGTCAATTGAAGTCAAGCATCATGATTTTATCTTCTGCTTTTCTAGGTGGTTTGAGACTCTGGTGAGACAACAGTGAAAAGGTGGCATTTGTGCAATGCAATGTAGTTGTTACGTACACATAGCTAACATGACTATCTGCAGGCTCAGGTAACAAGAAGAGAGTTAATATTCTCTCTTCAATTTTAGTATATTTAAGGGAATTGCTTTTTGCAGATTAAACCCCTCTGGTAGCTGGCTACATACTAGTCATCCCTTAGGAAAGAAAAAAACCCTGTTTTTTCAAAGTGTGTATGTGAAAAGCTACAACAGCGAGAAAAAAGCATTATAAATAAAATCCTTTGTTAATAAATCCCTGCAAAACTACACAGTATAGATATGCTGCTGGTAGATGTCAACAACTAACCACCATTAACTTTCAACTTCGAAACAAATATGGTCATAGAAGAAAGCTGTGGCTATGCTGAATTGTAGCTGCAAGTTACATACAAAACTTTGAAGGACTGGGCCTTGACCAACCTGGTCTAGTGGAAGATGTCCCTGCCCATGGCAAGGGGGGTTGGAACTGGACCTTTAAGTTCCCTTCCAACACAAACCATTCTATGATTCTATGAAATAGTCTCTCTAAGAAAACAGGAGAGCTCACTGTCACTCCCCTTTGTCGTGCTGTTCCTTGGCATCCTAGATGTTGAATAATGCTGAGAATAGGAGCAGAAGAACTGGAACTCATCTCGGGTTGCAGCCTGATTTCACAAGGTATCTATCTACCCTAAGATACAAGGGGCACACTTGGCATAGTTTGACATGGCTGTACCACTAGGATGAAAAGGTGCTGGATCAATTAGTAGAAACTCCAGAGCTATTACTATTTGGTTACAAGACTAGCAGGCTACAGAGAGGATCAGGCATAAACCCACCTCTTTTTCCAAAGACTGCTTCACAGATTTTAAAGCCACCATGCTTTCTTCAAGTTTCTCTGTGTAACAGGGAACAGCTGTTATCCTTTTGTTCCTGTGCTGATTCAGTAAATACCATTTAATAAAAACATTGCTGCCAAATGTATCGATAAGTGAAGAGATGATGGTACATACATTTCTGAGGACTAAGACTGCTGCTGATGGGCAAGGTCATTCACCTAATCTATTTCAAGCACTTTCTTCCCCAGTGCTTAACTGATTGTAGAGGGATTGATACCTTAAGGTCTAGGAGATCCACTTTTTCCGAAAACATGGTTGAAAAAGAAAGAGTCAGCAGATATGAAGGATTAGTGATTAAGCATATGCTTCTATTGAAAAGAACCAGTAAAAATCTAATTTTGGTTCAGAAGAAATAAAATTAGAGCCTATTTTGGGCAACACTCTTCCTTATACAATTACCCATGTTTACACAGAAACAATTAAAATCAATGCTTTGCTGCTCTATGTATTCATGGATATTTCATTGTTCCATCTTTCAAATAATAAAGAACAATAGTCTTCTAATCGCTTCTCGAGACACAGCTTTCTAATCAAGATTTTTTTTCTCTCTTCTTCTTATGACGTAGCACTAGGATAACAATGCATTATGAGAAGCCGTATGCACTTCCTGCTGA